TGGATTGATTCAGTGACTGGGATAATTGGGATGGGAGTGTCAGAGACAGTGCAATTGGCACAGGACAGAGTGAAATTTAGGGCTGTTGTACATAGGGTCGCTACGAGTCGCAGGCGACTCGACGGCACGTAACAACAACAAACAACAATGTCAGCACTCATCTGTCCTATCTATAGATCCATATTCCTCTATGCTTGTTTCTTGTCACAGTAATTTTCATTCTTAAACAGAGAAAAGCCAGAATTTAAACTCTATTTGAATCATAATTATTGTTATGGATTAAAACTCAGTTTTTGGTTTTTAAAAAAGAAATAGATTTGAGGCATTGAACATCAGTGACTGAGGACCATGTGACTTGTGGGATGACATCAAGGGAATCATCCACGAAGAAAGCAAAAGGTTACTACAAAGACAGAGAGGAAGAAAAGACCAAAATGGATGTTAGAAGAGATCCTGAAAATTGGACTAGAGCATTGAGAAACCAAAACAAAGACAAGAGCTGCTGAAGAGCTGAACCTAAGATTTTAAAGGGCATCTGGAGAAGACAAAGCCAAGTATTCTAATGAATGTACAGAGAGCTGGAGTCAGAAAGTAAAAAGGGAAGAACTCGCTTGGCATTTTTCAAGCTGAAAAAAAAACTAAAAAAAAAAAAAATTAAAATAATTTAAGCCTTGAAGTTGCAATACTTAGAGATGTTATAGGCAAAATCTTGAATGTACCAGGAAACATTAAAAGAAAATGGAGGTAATACACAAAGTCACTGCACACACACACACACACACACACACACACACACACACAAATTTGTCCTACACTAAAATATTTCAGAAAGTACTATATGCTAAAGAGCCAATGACAGTGAAGGAAGCAAGTTCAAGTTGAAACGAAAACATTAGCCAAAAAAAAAAGAAAGAAAAAGGCCCCAGGAATCGATAGGATACCAACTGACATGTTTCAACCCTGGACATACTCACCAGACTGTGCTAGGAAACTTGGATGACAGCTACCTAGCTGACTGATTGGAAAAGATCCATATTTGTTCTAATTCTCAAGAAAAGTGATAAAACAATGTGGAGATTATCAAGCAATATCATTAATATTGTATGCAAGCACAACATTGCAGAAGATCATTCCAAAACAACTGGAATGGTACTTTGACAGAGAGCTGCCAGAAGTTCAAGCTGGGTTTAGAAGAGGCCGTGGAATGGGGGATATCACTGCTGATCCTTGCTTGTCAGATCCTTGCTGAGATCAGAGAGTATCAGAAAAGTATCTATGTTTAATCTACTATGCAAAAGCATTTGACTGTGTGGATCAAAACAAATTATGGTTAACATTGAGAGCTCTTCCTAGAAGCACTTAAATTGGTTAGCTAGAGATCTCTGCTCTTCTAGAAAGAAAGTAATAAAATTCTGACATGTGTCCTTAAAAATTACCAGAATAGACTTTGTTGTTATTTTTTATCAAAGAAGAGGTTGTAATTGTAAATGAGCCAGAAGAGAGCTTTAAGGAACAGACTAAGTAGTGGTCACTTTTAAAGAAGAAAAGCATAAAATCCAGGTAAAGAGGAAGTAAAAAGCAGCCCCATGGGGCATAGAATTGAGGATGGTTTAACAAAGAGTCCCTAGTTCTTTCAGAAATTGAAATTTCTCAGCAGCCAGACAGAAATAATACCTTTGTCCTGTTGTTGTTCTTGTTATGTGCTGTTGAATTGACTATGACTTATAGCAACCCCAGGAATAATGGGTTCTGAACCGTGCTCTATCCTGAGCCAACCTCACCATCTGACAAAACTAACCCCATTGCCACGATCACTCTGTCAATCCAGCTTATCCAGGGTCTTCCTCTCCTGTGCTGAGTCTCTATCCTTCAAAGCATGATGTCCTTTTCTAAGTCTGGTCCGTCTTAACAACATTCCCTAAGTTTTTGAGATGGAGTTTCAAAATCATTGCCTCCAAGGAGCAATCTGGTTTCACTTTCTCCAAGAGACCTGTTTGTTCTCTGGGTAGCCCATGAAATGTTCAAATCACAACTGAAAGGCATTGATTCTTCTTTTGTCATACGTAGTCATTATTCTGCTTAGATGCATAGCAAGCAATTGAGAAGGCAATGATCTGGATCAGGCTCATTTTAATCTCTAGACTAAAATTGCTCTTTTGCATTCTGGAGAGGTCTCTTACAGTTGTTATCTGCTGTCAAGTCACCTGCAACCTATAGCGACCTGATGTACAACAGCTCTGAAGCCTGCCCTGTCCTGAGCCAGTCTCATTGACTCCAACACACCTACCCCCATTGCCCTAGTTACTGTATCAATCCATTTCATCTGGGGTCTTCCTCTCCTGTGCCATCCCTTCACCCTTCCAAGCATGATGTCCTTCCCCAAGGACCAGTCCCTCCTGGCCATATGCCCAAAGTATATGAGACAGAGCTTCAAAATCCTAGCCTCCAAGGAGAAGCTTGGTTTCACCCTCTCTAGGACAGATTTACTTGTTTTCTTAGTGGTCTGTGGTATGTTCAAGACTCTTCTCTAGCACCACAACGCAAAGACATCAATTTTTTTTCTGTCATCCTTGGTCACTGTTCAGCTCTTTGATGCATAGCAAGTAATTGCGAAGACTATGGCCTAGACCAGGCCACCTTAGTCTCTAGACTGACATCATTGCTTTTCAGTCCTCTGGAAAAGTCCCTGACAGCAGATTTACCTCACGCAATTAGTCTCTTGATTTCCTAACTACTGGTGGTGCCCAGAGTGTTGATTGTTGAGCTGAGCAAGCTATTAACAACCTCAATCCCTTCCCCATCCATAATGGTGCTGCCAGTTGGCTCAGTGGTGAGAATCTTTGTCTTCTTGATATTGAACTTCAATCCATATTGAAGACTACAGTCCTTGACCTTCTGCAGCAGGCGCTTCAGGAAACAAGAGCTCTAGAATGACATCATGGCTCTTTAGCTCTCTGGAGAGGTCTCTTACAGACTTTTCCAGAGCAACTCATCTTTTTTATTTCCTAACAGCTGGTCAGAAAGGTCAGTCAAAGGTGTTGGTTGTGGATCTGAGCAAGATGAAATAATTAACAATCTCAGTCTCTCTTCCCTCTATTATGGTATCTATCGCTGATTTGCCAGGTGATGAGTATTTTGTTTTCTTGATGTTGAGATGCAATCCATATTGAAGGCTTCAATCTTTGTCTTTCTGCAGCAAATGTTTCAAATCTTCCTCAGTTTCAGCTAGCAAGGTGGTATTATCTTCTTAAAGCACGTTGTTGATTAGTCAGTCTTCCTTCAACCCTAAAGTCACATTCTTCTGTATAAAGACCAGCCTGCTGAGTGATCTGTTTCACATACAGATTGAAGAGGATGCGCTTCTATCTTATTTTGAACCAAGCAGTGTCCCATTGCTCTGTTTGGACAACAGCTCCTTTGCAATAGTCCTCTCTATTATACAGCCTACTGTGAACTCAGGATAAATAAATCAGAAGTTTTGCAAGCATGCATGGCACAAAAGGGTAACAAGTAATAATTTGAAGATTCAACACAAAGGATACATGAATAAGTATATATTTTAAAAAGTTGATGAGTCAGGATGGGAAAAATTGAATGTAAAATTAACAACATTGTTAAAGTCATGTATACCTGCTAAGGTTTTACACGTCCTTTCTATGAAGGCGTCACATAATTTATAAGTTGTACCACATAAGATTGTGTAGGGAGCTACCTTGGAACAGACCCACTATCCATGCTCCAAGGATTAACAAGTGTCCTATAGTTGAATAGCACATCCGGGTTTGGGTTTATTTGCACATCTTACATCAATTTACTTTTCAGAAAGTAACATGGAATTATTTAAAAGATACAACTTATTTTAGATATTCTTCTGTCTTTCCCTCTGTTTCCCTCTCTTTACAAAGGGCTGCTGGTGAAGCTGAGATACCAAGAACATCAGTCCCTATAGATTTAGAGTCTTAATTTGACAAATACCTGTGGTTCTGAAACTAACTCAAAGCAAAATATTTTCCATCTTAGGTAAAATGAAAATTTCCCAATCTGATTAATCCCGTCTCCCACCTACAATTCTCTCTTTCCCCTTCCATCCTCCCTTGACTTTCCTCACCCCTTCCTCTCTTCCCGGCCAGAGTTCAGCCTTTAAGTCTTAAGAACCCATAATTCTCTTTCTATCCCACTCATGCGACAAATAAAGTATGAAATAAGCCCTTGATGTTTATTTACACTTTTCATATTTGAATATATTTTTCCAAATTCAATGCACTTCCCTTAGGTTTTTTACAATTTTAATTCTTTTTAAAAAATCACCCATAATGCTTAAATCTGGAATGTGTACCTAATTAATTACAATAAATAGTATTTTTATAGAAAACTACTACTCGAGTCTATGATTGGTTAGCCCTTTCTTCACTTGTTTCCTCGGCTAATGGGTCTAAAAATAAAGCATTTCTCAGACACCGCAGTGAGCCGGCCCACACTGTACGGCTGCAGGGTAGCTTTGCAGATCCTCCAGTGGCCTCACGATCCGAGACCCAGGAGGCAGCAGACTGGGCCAGGGTCGCTCAGGCCAGGTTAGGGACCCGGTCTGGGCTCGAAGGTGGCCGTGTAGGTGGGTGGGTGACCGAGGTGGGCGCCGCCCGCTCTTGCAGATCCCCGAGCCGCAAAGGACTGGCTGGCTAATCGCCAAGAAGCGACTGCCACGTCAGGGCAACTTCACAAAACCCAGGCGACAGAGGGTGACGCAGGCGGATCGGCGGGGTTGGCCAGTGGCCAGACAAGGAGGCCGACCTCCTGCCCCGGCGCCCGGTTAAGCGACGCCTCCGCCGGCGCCGGCGCCTGCCCGGCCTTCAGGGAGGCGGGGGAGCAGCGGAGGAGGCGGCACCACCGCGCAGCCCAAGCCTCGCCCCCGCTCTCAACCCGCCCCGCAGTCCGGACGAGGCGGGGCGGCGCCCGCGGAAACTCCCTCGGCCCCGAGCCGCGCTCAGACGGGGACAGCGGCGCACCGAGAGGCGGCGGCGGCTGGCCGTGTGGCCGGAACCTGGCCATCTATCCGCCATGGAGACCCGCTACAACCTGAAGAGCCCAGGTGAGCAGGGTGGGAGGCGGCAAGGCGTCCTGGGCAGGGCAGATCCAAGAGTGCGGAAGTGACCCTGGACCGCCGTCCCCTCGTGTCCACCGCCACTCGTGGCTCCGCTCCGGGCTTTACCCTCTACGCGAGGCCGCCGCCTGCCGGGAGGTGCAGGCCGCAGGGCGGGGAGCCACCGACTGCCACACCCGGACACTGCCTACCGCCTCGCATCACCCGTCAGTCCTCTTCCTTTTCTCATCTTTGTCCAGCAGAGCTGTATCTTAAACTCATCCCTCAGAACAGGTGTAGAAGTGATGTGCATGAGTAATAGGCAACAGCTTCATGTACCTGCAGCCTAAACACCTCCTCTGCTACCAGACTTTTATGAGCTGGGCCAGGTTTAAGAATTTAGTTTAGATACCCAGTTTTCAGCATTTGGGGCCAATAGAATTGCAAATAGAGGGGAAATGACATGCACTAAGCTAGTAAAGAGAAAATGAATTGAGCCATCCATGTGCTTTAGAGCTAATCATGATTTTGTCAAACTAATGATATATTTGTAGTCGGTCATAGTTTTATGTTCTTGCAATTAATGCACCTGCTTCATTTACAAGGCGCTTTGGTGACCTAGTGGGTAAAGAGTTGCGCTGGCAACCAAAAGGCAGGTGGATAGAATCTAGGTTCTCCGAGGAATAACGATACGCAGTCTGCTCTCTTGAGATTTACAGCCTCTGAGACCCTGCTATGGGTCAGTTCCAACTCCATGGTGCATTAACAACAGCGACTTCATTTATAGAGCAGCCCAAATGGTCCTAGCCTCATTCTTTCTTCGTGTCTATAAAGATCATTCCTAGATTAAAGCAGTCTTGAAAGGAATCGCTGAAACACCTGGATAACGTTGTCAAGAGGGGGAAAATGAAAAAAAAAAAAAAAAAGGGGGAAAATGCCATTGCTTAGCTGCTAAATCCTAGGATATTAGTGATGGTGTGTCCAGTTCTTACTACCTCTCATTTTTTCCTTCTAAAAAATGCTCTTCTCCAATAGGAATCAGCAGACTAATATCCTTATGAGTAGAGTTGACATTGTGACTTTTTTTTTAAACTGTGAATGTGCAGACTTCAGAAAAGCCTGGAGCTTTTTGATTGAGCTTTGTTAGCCACAGAGCTCTGTCAAGTTAAGAAGTATCCTTTGGTAAGCTAGTGTGTAGAATTGATTATAATGTTTTGGGAAGTTACCTTTGTATAGAGTCACAACTGACTTCATAATTGACCCTCCAGTGGATTTTCAGACACTGTAAATTCACGTGAGAATTTATTGCCTGTCTTTCTTCCATGGAATAGCTGGTGGATTCGAACCACATACCTTTGTGTTGGCAGTGCAGTTCCTTAAATTCCAGTGAACAGTTTAGGTCCCAAAAGAATTTATGCAGTTAGATTCACTCCTTTCCCCCCTCAGCCTTTGGCTTAGGAATCTCTAGAGAGTAGAAAAGAAAGAGAAAGAAAAACATAACTTTTAAGATTAGATGGTAGAAAGATTGAAGTATTAAGAAATTTAAATAAAGCTATTTGGATAAAAATGTATGGTAAACCTTGGTCACATATTGGTTCCTTAAGATAGTAGAGGTATCTTAGTGAGATATCTAGAGAGTAATTATAACTTAAATATTTGTGCGGTGTGGAATGATGGTGGGAATGAGGAAGTCCTAAAGAAACTATCAGAGGGCATTACTTAGTTTGAAGGGTGTTTTGTGTGCAATTATAATAATTCACTTTTTTATTCCCCAGAATTTTGTACATTTCCACATTATATCACCTTTTGTTGTCTGGTTAGCTCTGGTTGACATGCTTCTAAAACTGTATAATAAGTTGCTTCCTCTCTTTTGTTTCATTTCCTCTTAGGTTGTATTGCTGTTCTAAAAAAAGAGAAAAAGCAATATTTGTTGTCATTGTGTATACTAGGTCAGTGGTATCACACACTGTGCTATAATTGGTTTTATGACTTTCTTTACTTTCTCTGACCTTATTGAGTGTGTGAAGTAAGTCTTGTTCACTCTTTTATCTCCACTGATGAAGTGTTCTTTAAATGTTTGTTGAATGAATATCCATGCAGGGCTTTTCTAAACAAAAACATCAGAAACTTAGTACCTTTGCAATGGTAATATGGTAGTAGGAAGAGGCAGCTTGTGCTATGTGCATCGATATTACCTCTTCAGTATACCTGCTTCTTGCATTTCACCCATGCTTTCAGTACTTTCAGAATATGTACTTTCCAAGAGAAATAGATGCATGGGAGATAGTGGTTTGCAAAAAGACCCTATATTACCGGTGGCTCTTTGGCCTCAAGCATCCATTGTAAGCCTAGTGAACTGACCTGGACTTGTGAAGAACGCTAAAGCCTAGGTTCAAAAAACCTAGAGTCTGGATCCAAGTAACCGTGTGCCTTCCATAAGAAAAAGAAGAACACCAGAAGTATGTGGTTCGAATCCACCAGATGCTGTGCTGGAGAAGGCAGGACAATCTCCTCTATCAATCAGATCCGATTTGACGGCACACACACACAAAATAATATTTTTTATAATTTTTTGTGCATGTACTGTCAAATCAGATCTGACAGGAGGAGATTGTCCCTCCTTCTCCAGTAGAACTGCGCATCTCTGGGATTGCAGTGCACAAAATAAAAAATGTGTTAAAAAAAAAAGGAACAATTACACAGATGAAGGTCAGAAGATGGTGTTTTCCTTTCTGTGTCTCTTTTCAAAGAGTCTGTTTTCATTTAATAACTGCTATGAGATAAGACAGGAGCTGGGGCTAAAAGGATTCCTCTAGTTAAATAGAAGTAGGAGATAGAGTATCAGGAGGAGCAGACCATTCTTTGGCTTTCCTTCTCAGGTAGTGCTTTGGAACTTGGCTGTTTTCACAGCAGTGATATGGAGCCAAGGGAGCCTTAGTATGAGACCAACTACATAATCAGCGCCTTCTTTTGAACCACAGAGAATAATTTTGAAAGCCTTATATCCCAGTCCATCTCTGACCTTAATAACTTATGGTCTGGGGAAAAGAGAAGAGTGAAGCAGAAGGGCATACCTCATTTTACTGCATTTCACTTTATAGTGTTTTATTGCATTTCACCTTATTAGATACTGCAGTTTTTACATATTGAAGGTTTGTGGAAGCTCTGTATCAAGCAAGTCTGTTAGCATAATTTTATTCCAACAGCCTGTGCTCATTTCAGGTTGCTATTTGGTAATTTTCACAGTACTTCATCATACTCTTGCACCACCCAATAGTTTGGTAGTTTTGACTATCAAAACCCACTCATAGGGACATGCCTTCTGGTTGTCAAGGCTGTAAATCTCTTTAGGAGGAGGCTGCCTGTCTTTCCCCCAAGATGGATTTGAACTGCTTACTTAGTTAGCAGCTTGATACATTATACGGTATGCCACCACGCCTCTTAATGGAACATAGTGCAGTGTCCACGTAACTTTTATATACACTAGGAAAGAAAAAAAAAGTGTGAGACTTGCTTTATTGCTATATTTGCTTTGTTAACATTGGCCTAGAGTCAAACCTTCAATATCTTCAAGGTATGACTGTGTTTAAAGAAATTACTAACTTCCTTTTGACCAATGTAAAGATTGAAGTAGAATATGATAAATGACTTGTTCAAGGATTTAGGGATATGAAATATTAAGTCCAGAATTTTAATGTAGTTCTGATTCTAGAGTCCATGTTATTTTACACTGAGATATTAATAATATATTGTGTTATTTAAGAAAAAAATAGGTTGTGAAAATACTAGACAAATCTTCTGTTTGGCCATATGACTTTATGACTATAGCTATTACATGGTATATGCCTTTGTGGCCTATGGACTAATAGTAAAAAAAGAGGAGTGACTGGAGATTCCTGTCTGGCCAGATATTAAAAATAGATGAGAAGCATTATGTAGAGGATCTGCAGCCCTTCCATGCTGGTCTCTCCAACTAAACACTCTGTGTTTGGTTATTTTACATTAAAATTACCATGCTACTTTTCTCGAACCAAGGATTTTATCCAGTGAGTTTGAAAACCATTGCCCTTTTTAAGTTAATATTTTATCATTTGTGTACATTGTGTTTTATGCATGTACATTGTCTTTGATATATCTCTTATATTTCATTTGTGTATATTGTAGGATTTTTCCCTTTTACAGGCATCTTACTAATAACTACTTTCGTGAAAGCATATAAGCCAGCTTGGACCTTGTGCCTTAATAGCCACATTTTAGATAGCTAATTTAGGATTTGCCCATCCCTGTTAAACCAATACTCTAAGGGAATAAGCATATCCCTTTTGCTGAAGAATCCTCTGTTCAGCTTGGAAACTGAGCATCTGCATCCAAAGCAAAGCCCAGTCCATAGCAAGTTATCAGGTTACAGCAATTAACACTAGCTCACAACATAAATCATCTTCTCTTCATCTGGTTGGGTTCTGGGCAACTCGTCTCCAGTCATCTGTGTCTAGGTTCCAGTGGGCATCAGCCACAATGTTTCAGACCTCTTGGTCCCTTCACTCAACCCTAGCCCCCACATGGGGCCAAGTCAACCAACCAGGAGTCCTCATGATTCCCTGCATCTCCAGCCAACAACCCTTCCCTGTTCATCCATACATCTGTGCATGTTACGTGGACAGCACTGAAGAACACATCCATGCTCAGCCTACTTCTCCATTGTTGTATTGAACACCATTACCTTTAATCCCAGCCTTAGGAAGACATTTATTGGGGGATGACAATGAAATGAAATTCAGTAAATCTTTAAATGCATACTATCACTAATACCATATGCAAGCAAAATGTTGAAGATTATCCAAAATACAAGCTGGGTTTATAAGAGACTCTGGCACTAGGGATATCATTGCTGATGATATCAGATAGATCTTGGCTGAAAGCAGAGAGTACCAGAAAGGATGTCTATTTGTGTTTTATCAGCTGTGCAAAGGTATTTGATTGTGTGGATCACAACAAATTTTGGTTAACAT